GGGTACAGGTGAATATTTATCATATCGTTTGATCCCCCTCGACTGAACGGTGATCTGACTCTTTGGATTAGCAAATACTGTAGCAATAGTGCGTAAAATTATCAGTGTTCAGTCAGGTAACTCAACATGTACATCCGCCGTAAATTGTAGATGATTCTTCTGTTTGCATTTCAATATTAAAGCCAAGAATTACTTTTCGCAGATATGAATATGGGCTAGAACCTATGGAACAGAATGTCTATAAATCTCTCTCATTAAATGTATTTAGCGTTCCGTTAAACTAAACATATGGTATATTTTGCAAACTTAAAATACCTTTTTGACTCTGCAAGTATCTTTATTTTTTGTCTTATGACATTTAATCATTAAGTAGAATAGTAAGTTTTCAAAGTACAAACACATTTATTGTAACTAAATTGAGGAGGAAAAACAAATAATGAAAATATTTGTACTACTAGCAAGTTCTTGCAGCAATCTGATTAAAATGAGATCTTTGATTCTCTCCGAAATTTTAATTGTCGCTTTGTGTAGCGACTTTCAAAATTTTGGAGCGAATCAAACATTGATTTTAATTAGATAGGGTCTTCATGCGGATTTCAGATCTTTTAATGATATTGGATGCGGTGTGTTTATCATTAAAATTGATTAAATTGTAGTTCCGCTTAGTTATTGAGCAAAGGTGTTTACCGAATCACGTGTCCTTATTAGGTACAGTGTGTTTGAATAAAACGGAAACATGGGTTGAGTTGCACTAATTAGGCATTGTAGGAAAAGGAAACAAAGTACAATTATCATTGCAAATAAAAATCCAAAATAACATCTTTGTAGAGTACGTCTAATGTCATGATGAGACATATATCAAAGAGCTTACTTTTAGATGCTGATGAATCGCGTAATTTCACATTGATATAATTATAACCATTAAGAACTAGCGTCGATATAACCTTTAGAGGAGAAGCACGTCATTTACAAATTAGATAAAAAAACGATGGGCCACATCGCTTACCAGAGCACATTAGTTAGGAAAAAGCACACATGAGTTCAGTATTGAAAAAGTTTACATGGGGGAGGGGGACTTGAATTTTAAATATCTGAGGATGCTTCCATATCAATATAACAAATGGCTTTGCTGTTCTTGAGCAGCAGATTTTAAAGATTTTTTTCCCTATATATTCCTTTGTAAAAATTTGATCTCCCATTGTGTCCCCTCCCTACCCCCGGGGGGTCTTCATTTGAACAAACTTGAATCTACACTACCTGAGGATGCTTCCATATAAATATGACTAAACATGGCTTTTCTGTTCTTGAGAAGAATATTTTTGCCTATATATTCCTGTGCAGAACTTTGATCCCCCCATTGTGGACCCCCCTAACCCTAACCCCGGGGGTGGGGGTGGGGGTTGGTCATCATTTGAACAAACTTAATCTACACTACCTGAGGATGCTTTTTTTTTTTTTAACTATATATAAGTTTTTCCCTATGTATTCCTATGTAAATCTTTAATCCCTTATTGTGACCCGACCCATCCTACCCTTGAACAACTTTGAATCTACATACCTGATAATGCTTCAATATCAATATTACTTAGCATGGCTTTGTTGTTCTTGCGAAGATTTTTTTAAAGATTTTTTCCCTATATATTCCTATGTAAAACTTTGATCCCCTATTGTGGCCCCTCCCTACCCCCAGTGGTCATCATTTGAATAAAATTGAATTTACACTACCTGAGAATGCGTCCATATCAATATGACTAATCATGGCTTTGCTGTTCTTGAGAAAAAAATTTTAAAGATTTTTTCCTATATATTCCTATGTAAAACTTTGTTCCCCCAATTGTGGCTCCACCCTACCCCCGGGGATCATCATTTGAACAAAATTTAGTCTACACTACCTGAGAATGCTTCCATATCAGTATGACTAAATTAGGCTTTGCTGTTCTTGAGAAAAAGATTTTTAAAGATTTTTTTCCTTTATATTCCTATGTTAATATTTGAACCCCAATTGTGGCCCCATCCTCCCCCCCGGGGGGTCATGATTTGAACAAACTTGAATCTACATTACCTGAGGATGCTTCCATATCAATATGATTAATCATGGCTCAGCTGTTCTTGAGAAGAAGATTTTTAAAGATTTTTTTCTATGTATTCCAATGTACAACTTTGATCACCCTCTGTGGTCCCATTTGGGACATGGGGTTATCATTTGAACAAACTTGAATTTACACTATGTAAAGATGGTTTCCTAAAAGTTTCAACTTTTTTGGCCCAGTGGTTCTTGCGAAGAAGAGTTTTAAAACATGCCACCAAATTTTCGCTATTTCTGAATTATGTCCTCTTGAATGAGGACATGGCCCTTCATTTAAACAAATTTGAATCCCCTTCCCCTTCAGCTAAGGATACTTTGTGGCAAGTTTTGTTGAAATTGGCCCAGTGGTTCTGGAGAAGAAGTAAACAAGCTAATTCTGAGAATTTGTGTCCCTCGCTTAGTTATCCTAATAACTCTCCACATGCCCCTTTGCTAAAAATAGTGCCAAGCGACTTTTAAAACAAGCAATAAAAAAAAAAAACGGGGCGGGACACTTTGAGAGGGGCGAGAGAGGCCATAGGTAGTTATGGTATACAAGCTTATTCAAAGAATTTGTGTCCCCCGCTTAGGGAAAAAAAGAAGAGCATGCGCATTTCGGATGGGGGGGGGGGTCGGAACCCCCCCCCCCGGATTTGTAGAATTATTTAATGTATACATGTATATTGAAGGAAATAAAAAATGCCAATATGGATATAAAGATTTGATTGCTTATTCTTTAATATGTGTATAGAAGATTCTTTTTATATAGAATATTTATCACACTGTAATAATGATTTTATGAGTTTGTACACGCCAGACGTCATTACTTTTTCATTTCACATGTTGAATACTATAATTTAGTAAATAAAAAAAAAAGGATCGTCCGGGATTTGAATCCGGTACCTCTCATTTGCTAAGCAAGAATCATACCCCTAGACCACTGATGCACTTGATTATATTGCAAATTAAATGCAAACACTAGGTCACATATATAATGTTTACATTCACGTTCGATATTGTCAAAATTTTACACAATACATGGTGTCTAATTTAGCCTCTACTAAAAAGTTCTAATAGATGTAATTAGAATATGAAGTCCGCCGACAACCTGTATTATATGTAATAACTCTCCACATGCCCCTGTGCTAAAAATACTGCCAAGCGACTTTTAAAACAATAAATAAATTTAAAAAAAGGGGCGGGACACTTTGAGAGGGGCGAGAGAGGCCATAGGGAGTTATGGTATAAAATTTCATTGCAAAAGCTCAAAAGCTTCTTGAGAGATCGTCCGGAAACGAAAGTGTTACACACAGACGAATGTATGAGTTTACGACCTTGAACTTTGACCTTTTGACCTCAAAATCAATAGGGATCTTCCTCAGGCCACAGGGAGTTGTTATGTACAATTTCATTGCAAATACTCAAAGGATTCTCGAGATATCGCGCGGAAACGAAAGTGTTAAAATAGAGAGAATTTATTGATTTATGACCTTGACCTTTTGACCTCAAAATTAATAGGGTTCTTCCTTAGGGCAGAGGGAGTTGCTATGCAAAATTTCATTGCAAAAGCTCAAAGGGTTCTTGAGATATCGCGCCGAAACGAAAGTGTTACAGACAGAAATACAAACGGACGGACAGACAGACAGACCCAAATTAATATCCCCCACTTTCAGTAAAAGCGGGGGACAAAAATGTGAAAAGTTTACAGACGGACAAACAGACAGCTAGACAGACAGACCACAGACAAAATGTGATCAGAAAAGCTCACTTGAGCTTTCATCTCAGGTGAGCTAAAAAAAAACAATACTGCGTAATGAGGCAATCTCCATGACAATCGTGCCATTTACCCTTTCTAATCATTTTTTGTCCTATTTTAACACTAAACAGACAGAAATCAGGTGTCATGAAGGAGTAAGCATCCCACGTCGAACGGCCAAACCTTCTGTGAACTCTTTGTATTGATCGGTTGCATGGCGTACATTTTATACAAAACTTTATGGAAAATACCATATAATCATTTGGAGTCTCCTGAATTATCTCTATTTCGTGCATGGTATTTCATTTGAACCAAGTTCAATTTTTCTATTAAATGTATAACATAATGTTTATGAATTCATAAACATGCACTGCCTATTTTTAATGTATTGAATGATTTTTCTTACCAATTTTAATTTTTTTAATATACACGTGTTCAAGCACAGTTTGATCAACTGATCGTTCAAAATAGAATATGTTGTAGGTAAACACATGTACAAAAGTCTCATTATGATGAATTCCTCAGTTAAAACTTTTTTGATATTTTTATTCAGTAAACTTTACCACACATTCACAGGCCTTATATCTCAATCGCATGCATTAGATATTTTCCTTCAAAGAAACATGAATTATGATAAATAAATAATATCTACGACTTCATAACTAATGTACTAATAGAGTGTTGTTCTGAGTTCACATTTATACAACCTTTACCAAACAGTTGTACACAAAATTTAAACTCGTTGTCAGATCTAAAAGAAAAAAAAATCTTTTAAATTTGGTGTAATATACATATGATGCAACCTGTTTATATCTTATATCATTTCAATGTGTACTTATGAATTATTTTCTTAAACTATCATATAAAATTAAATTACTGTTATTTCTCTATATAAAACATCTTAAATTTCGGCGCTTTTTCTAATTTTCATCCTAATCTTAATTGTTAACAAGACACTGCACACATACTGTATTAAAAATATTTTCAAAATATTTACCAACCTAATACGATTTTAAAATACACATTAAGAATTTCTGCAGTGATTATTTGTTTATTTCAATAACGACAAAAGGAAAAATCTCATCAAACTTACATTTTACACTCCCAGTCATATTCTGAAATGATACCATCATTTAATCAAAATGTAAAGGATTAATTATTGCTGCAGTCATAGAATACTCACACATTAAGTATTATTGTCACGATATAACCACTCGGTGTCTGGAAAGTCAGTATTTTGATTCCTTCTGGGACCTGTCCCTGTGCAATATTTCCTATGCGAATCGATCCGGATGGTAAAAACTTACTACAATTGTGTATAAATAGTTATTACATTTTCAACAGTGATTATTTTTTGCTTACTTTGATAACCTTTCACACTGTGATAAAATATCACTTTCGTATCCTTTCACACTGTGAGAGAATATCACTTTTATTCAATAAATAAATCACAGTATTTCACTGTTGAAAATGTAATAATACAGATATATACTGCTGGAAAAGTATATGTATCTGATACAAAATACAATTATGTAGCATTTAGAACAGGTTTACATCTGTTAATAAAAAGTTTTTTCTTTGGTTCTTTTTCTGTGGTATTCTTTCGAAATTTGTAAAAAGAAAAAAAACCCGGCAAAATTGGGACTTTTATTCCTGGCGCAGATTCTAATATTTTCACTGACGGGGGATACACTGGTATTTTGGTTCCCAGATTTGCTGTTGGTGTACGGTCATTCTGTTTCTTAAGGTGTCTCCTGTTTGACCAATATAATTTTCACTGCAACCGGCGCAGGTTATCACATAAATAAGATTGGAAGTGGTGCACGACATGCAGGTTATAATAGGAAATTCGCTTCCGGTTTTGAAATTAAATCTAGACCCTTCTGTCAGGTATGGAAAAGTGCTGCATTTGGATTGCATTTACTGAAGACGGGTTGTTCATGGTTGTTACTGGAAAAAGATGCTCTAGTAAGGATGATTTGAGAGAAGGGCTTTGTCGCTTACTTTTGATAATCTGCGAAGTTTCTAATATTTTTTTTCATGTCTCAACCTCTACGATAGGTAGGTTATTCCTAATTATGTTGAAAATTTCCGGATTTCTTGGATTGTTCGTTGAGACGTATTGTATGACATTATGAACGGGTTTATTTTCACTGTGAGTAGATCCTTTCTTTCATGAGATTTCGCTTAGTTTATTCCGTTTTGAATCAATAAGAATTGTATTGGATAATGTCAGTTTAGCAAGATGTCTTTGTACAACAATCTATGATACGGAAATCTTGGACTTTCGTCCCACAGAATTACAGGATCTACGCCTTCATAGACATTATCCAATACAAGATCGTTTGAATCTTTGGCCGCTCTATACAGACAAAGGTGTGTAAATACTGTAGAGCGGCCAAAGATTTTGCGAACGATCTTGATATTCGATAACGTCTTTCAAATTTAGGAAACATACTTGTAAATCAAGGGATATTTCACTCGAATTTAGATGGACGTCATACGTATTATAAAAAAGTGTAGTCATGGTTTAATTTTCTTTCAAAATATAAATTGAATATTGCGTAATCGATATTTTGCAAAGATTAAGAAAATTGCATATTACATAATCCATAAAAACTTCATAAATAGTATATTTATCTTTTATCAAATCTGATTTTTTTTTATCACACTCAGCTATGCTAAGAAATTTCAATTTATTCAAATATAATATTACATGTATGTATTACGTAACAATGTATATAGAGAACAAGTTGTGTTTATGAAACGCAGACCATGTCTGCTCATGGGAAAGGTTTAAGTTTCTTAAATGCAAGACAAACTCCAAAGTCAAGATATACAAAATAGTTATACCCCAGAAAGGTCTTGTCATAAAAAAAAACATCTGTAAAATAAGAAAGCCCTAGCACCAACCGTTCAAAAATTATGGCCAAGGTCAAAGTTTTGAAATAATAAGTCAATCTCCACGGTCAAGGTCAAAATTAATGACGCCCAAGGAAAGGTATTGTCACAAGGAAACCATATGTGAAATATGATAGCATTAGCACATATATTTTTCACAAAGTATGGCCTAGGTTAAGGTTTTTCAAAAGTAGGTCCAACTCCAAGATCAATGTCAAAGGGTCAAAATTGTTGGTACCCAAGGAAAGATTTTGTCACAAGGAATGCATGTACATCTAAGAAATATCACCAACTGTTCAAAAGGTTCAAGTTTTTTAAAGTAGGTTAAACTCCAAGGTCAAAGGTAATAAGGAATATACATCTGAAATATAGAAGCCCTAGCACTAACCGTTTAAAAGTTATTTCAAAGATTAAAGTTTTGGTAAAATTTTGCAAAAGTGAGTCAAACTGCACGTAAAAAGGTCAAATATGTTGGTACACAAGAAAGATTTTGTCACATGGAATACACCTGTGAAATATAAAAGCCCCGTGTACAGCTCCAACCAGTCAAAAGTTATGGACATGGTTAACGTTTTTGAGGACAAACAAACACATAAACAGACAAGACAAATGGGCGGACAGGGCAAAAACTATTATATGCCCCTTAATCTTCGATTATGGAGGCATAAAAAAAATTAAGCAAGAATACGGTGTCGTTTTTCTTTCAATCATTACACTGCGCTTAAGGAGGAATGCTACACCAAAATTTTATTCGATGGATCTTTAAGACATCTCTTTTAAACTATGGTCTCATCAATGGAAGACAGATATTAACTCTTAATTATTTCATGCCGACGGCTAAAGCATATCAGTAGGAATGGTTCTTAATTCAGCAAGAGGCTAACTGGAAACAACGCTAACCTGAGTAACTTTGGTCCTGCTGTTCTTCTTCAGATCCCCCCCCCCCCCATTGTAATACTTATTGTGGCCCCACCCATTTGAATAATATGAGATCTATACTATCTCAGGAAGCTTCCATATAAATTTCAGCTTTTCTGGCCCAGTGGTTATTGGGAAGAAGATTTTTAAAGATTTTTTCTATATCTTTGATTCCCTATTGTGGCCCCCTCTACCCCCTGGGGCTATGATTTCAACAGTTTAGAATCTACACTACCTCAGGAGGCCTCCACGTAAGTTTCACCTTATCTAGCCAAGTATTTCTTGAGAAGAAGATTTTTCCTATATATTTCAATGTACAAAATTGATTCCCTATTCAGGTCCCATCCTACCCCCAGGGGTCATGATGTGAACAATTTAAAATCTACACTACTCAAGGAAGCTTCGACATTAGTTTCAGCTTTTCAAGTCCAGCGGTTCATGAGAAGAACATTTTAAATGATCTTTTTTCCTATATATTTTAATGTAAAACTTTGATTCCCTATTATGGCCCCACCCTAGCAACGGGGGGTTGGGGGTTGGGCATGCTTTGTACAATTTAGAGTCTACACTACCCCGGGAAGCTTCCATTTAAGTTTCAGCTTTTTTTGGCCCAGTGGTTCATGAGAAAAAGAATTTTTAATGACCACCCTATTTTTATCTTTTCTTGATTAACTCCCCTTGGAATGGGGTTTGGTCGTTCATTTAAACAGTTTAAACTCCCCTTTACCCAAAGATGCTTTGTACTAACTTTGGTTAAAACTGGCTCAGTGGTTTTTTAGAAGAAGTTGAAAATGTGAAAAGTTTACAGACGGACAGATGCCGGACAACGGGTGATCAGAAAAGCTCACTTGAGCTTTCAGCTCAGGTGAATTAATAAAAATGTTCTGTAAGAACATAATAGCAAACCTAGTGACATTAAGACTGTAATTGCAAAGAGGGGAGCAACTCAATACTAGATAAGAAAATACCAGTCATGAATGTAAAAACTACAATGAAATTGCAAAATATTTTTCACCATATTTTTGCTTGTCCCTTCATTTAGGAGCAATACATTATTTTTATTCTCAAATTGCGCATGTAATCAGTTAACAAAAGCATGTTAGATTAAAAGAGTTTTTTGAACTCTGTATTAACCTGAAGTGACCCATTGCGTAGAACATTGGTTGTTTATAAAACTCATCTTGTTCTGCATTAACAATAACAGGACTATCTACATAGTTGTGTACCCAGTTGGGACCACCTTCCAGATTCAGGGCTAGATTCCAGTCTGTCCAACCTGTAACCCAGTGTTCCAGATCCTTGTGTTGTCAGGGGCAAATACAGGGATATATAAAGAAAGAAAGAAAACAGCATAAATATGGCACACTGTAAGAATGAAACAATTACTATGGCAAAAAGCCATAACAAAATTAATGATTGTAGACAGAAAAATAAAAGTTATCATGCATGTAAAACAATTAAGATGTTTTGACAGTTTTTTCCCTGATATTATACGTTTGCTTTGATTTTTTAAACAATAACAATCTACCTTTGTACTCCTTTACTTGGAAGGTAAAGATATTGGTATTTCTGCACATTTGGCACACATATGGTCAAACACATGTTCTATAAATAGCAGGTGATATGAAATGTTTTGTTCCATGTTTGTGACGTCACAATGTGAAAATGACGTCAATATATCAGTGACTTGTGACAAAAAATGGTTGACTCAGTCCTACTCGAGCAACGAAGGGCTGTAAAGTTTAAAGTTTATCTTGGAAATCCCTTTGCAGTAACATATAATAATTTGTACAAGGTTTATGAAGACAAAAGACTTGTTAGAAGTTCAATCATTAATTGGATTGATTGTTTTAGTGAAGTAAGGGAGATGGTTAAAAACGATGTTTACTCTTTTGTCCTGTGATTTCAAGCAAGCTTAGGAAGAGAAGTGTCCTTAGTTGAACAATTTGTTACGAAAGATAGCCAAGTTACAGTTAGGAAAATAGTCGAATATTTTAACATTAATATAATTATCAAATCCCTAAAATATTGTTTACTTTAAACTTTAAACATAACACATATGATAAAAAGAAGGCACCCATATTTTATCCACATTGGAAAAACGACGCTCCCAAGACAGAGGACACGGGTTGTGATGGTCACCATGCTCATTCTGGGAAAGGATATCCATATCCACCCATCCTATTGTCGAGATTTGTCCATTTCTGACAAATGGACTGTTTTTGTCATAAAAATAACTCGCATGGTAAGAAAAATAAGACTCGGAAAAATCTTTTAGCTTCTGTGAACAGAACACGTGATTCGCGCATGGGCAGAACGGTGGCAGATGTGCATTAAAATTGGAGAGGACTATTTTAAAAAATAAAGAACACTAAAACCTAATTTTATTTCTTTTATGGAAGTAATTCAATTAGTTCGCGAACTTTTAGATCACCCCTCGTATATATATATATATATATATATATATATATATATATATATATATATATATATATATATATATATATATATATATATATATACACTTGGTACAAATCTAATAATATAATTATTAGGGGATCAATTTGTCAGTACATGTGGTTCATTATTCGAATATTCAATAAAACAAGCAAATTCAAAGAATTGTGGTCCCCCGTTTTCGGTGTCTTAGTGGATGGGATGCCAATGTAACCATCTTGTTTGTCTATGCATTATACAATCAAAGTACTGAAAGTACTGGATTGCGCTAAGCAATGTTTGCAATTTGACATTCATCAGAATTATTTTGAATTTAAATTGCCTATTGTATTGGTATATATAAGTAATATGTTGACAGTGCAAACGCTAGGGGCTAGTACAGTTGCTTGATACACATTTACTTCGAGACTGTGACATCCCATGACGTCGTATATACGTTGCTATTTAAAGTATGTCACTCGTTAGCTTTTAAGAAAAGTTCAGTAATAACCTCTCACTTCAAAACTGTTTATTACGATTTCATTTTCTATAACATATTTGAATTATACAAATTATAAAACATTCAATTTAAAAACTGGCCATAAAATCATAAAGAACAAGATTTATGGGGGACTGTTTCTTGTGGTGGAAAGATATTTAATAGAAAGTTCTACAAATGTACACAATCTAATATCTTGGAATGTTAGCCCTACATATTTTTACTCGGAGCATTTTCCCCGTTATCATACGCTAGGAATTTGAAATGCGGGTGTCAATACGTTTGATTTCCATTAGTGAACTCTTCAAAATTAGAGGCGCGTTTGGTCGTCTGACTGGGACAGCATGGCGTTGCGGATAATACAAAACATGCCAACCTCAATCCAATTTTAAATGTTAAATGTATTTTTCATTCCAATTAAAGAATAGACGAACTAAAAGACATATGTAAGAGAGCGAGAACCCTAAATTTATCACCCATTAATAAAAAATACGACATTTCCGAGGCATGTGTATTGTATTTAAATGTACCATTCGATAAATAGATACATACGATCAACAATAGTAAATTGATATCATTGTCATTTCTACTCTTAATGTATATAAAGTCCACAACAATAAAATTTTTAATCTACATTTTGATATAGGATTTGTTCATCGACATTCAACATATTGTTTACATGTTTATGTTACGTTTGTCCCAGAAATCCCGCGAGATTTGTACATTTTCCGACTTTTTCACAAAAGAGCGCACTGAGAAGTATAACTCTTCAATAGTGAAAATAGAACGTATTAATATTTTTGGAACAAATTTTACATGTTCACTCAACAGAATTTGCCAAAAAATGAACATATATATTTAAAAAGTCAAGATAAAATTCACACAGTTTTTTGCCTGAGCGTCAAATTTACTATCTCTCAGCAAATTCGATTAAAGCAACTTGGTAACTTTTTGTTGTTGTGTTTTTGTTTAATTTATTTATGGCAAGAAAGAGCAATACCACAGTTATGGAAAAACTGTCTATTTGTGCTAAATTGCAATTATAGAAAATGGAGTGTGTAAGATATTTACACAATCGCCGGTATTAATTAATGATAAATAAGACTTAAACTATTACATTTTGTTTTGAATATGCTACAGCTGTGCATTACACATTTTTAACACTTCACATTCATCGCGCTGTGCAACATATCGGCATCAACAAGTGACAAAATCTAGGAAATTAGCACCTGAAGAGTTTTCGTTGTTTTGTCAGAGATAATAGGTATATATACAATTTGAGTATAAGTATATTATATTTGTCTTCTTCGTTTGATGAAAAAACATTCAGTGCTGTTCTTTAATCTTTGACTTTCATATACATGATTTATAATGTATTTGCGTCGAAAATTAGTCTTTTCTGTTGATCTCGCAATATGTGTAGCTGATTTGTAAATATCACATTTTTAAATAAAATTTTTATACTTTTTTCTTCGGAATAAAAATATGTCATTAAAAACTCAAGTATTTTTTTTAACTCTTTCTTGTTAAAATACTTTAAAATGAATTTTTTTTACGGACATTGATGCTTTAGCTTAATCTTAACTTGTTTAGGTATGATATCAACTACCACTCAAAGCATGCTGATAGGAATAAAATAAAATATCCACAGCACTGGTGTGTTCCTTGAAAAGAAATCCTGAAAATAATTGACCAGTAATTTTTGTGCTAGTTCCATGATAAATAATTCAACAACCCAAAAAAGAAAAGATAGTATATTAATCTCAAGTATAAACAAATATGAAAGCCTATTTTCTGATTTTCATGAAGATATACAACATTGTTTCATTCTGTTTTTATTTAGTGCTCATAAAGTTGCTAAGCAGACAAATCGGCAACTCAAACATACCTGCCCCGTTACTGAGAACGTATAAGTAAGGTTTTACATTTTTCGACATATCTTACGCACAGCACACACAAAGCGCCATATTTGTCATCAATATTTCCGAGAAATTAGTTTTTCCTCTCTAAGTGGATTCAGCCACTACGTGTCCTACATGTACGTGCAGCCGTAACCTGCCTTTCCTTGCGAAACAAGGCTGGATTACACGAATATAGACAGTTCATGAATGCATTTACGTCACTCTGTTAATAATTGATACTGAGATGCGAAAATCAACATCATTGATAGCTCTCTGCATGGTGCAAGGGTGATAATAGAAAGACTTGTTTTAGTTACATTGTCTGAAATAAGGATCTAGAAGAAAAAAAAGTTAGTTAATATGGATATAAATTATAAAGATCATAAGAACATTATATATCAATTTTATGCGAAATTTTCCATTAAATGACTTATTTCTAGTTTGAGTTTTAAACACTTATTAAAATCCCATATGAGTTTTAAACAATCACTATATACATGACATATAATAAACCGTTTTTAAGGTATTTGCATCATTGATGGCTTTTTTAATACTTTTTCGATACATATATTATCACTGCAGCAATTGTTAGCTACATGTTATACACAGTGCCGACATGACTTTTTAATGAACTACAGTGTATAGAGATAAGAACCGCCTTTATCCACTAACAGCAGATTTTCGTACAATGTATACTATCTACCTCACTAATTGACACCTATTATTAGTCCCCTACCGGTGAAACCGGAGGGGACTATAGGTTTCCTCTGAGTCTGTCCGTCCGTCTGTCTGTCTGTCTCTCCGTCTGTCTGTCTGTCTGTCCCTCTGTCTGTCTGTCAGTCTGTCCCACTTGGTTTACCGCACTTTTTTCCTAAACGCTTGCAGATATTGAGCTGATTTTTGGTATGTGAGTGTATCTTGATGAGTTACAGATCAACTTTGTATTTCGTTCCGCTTCATTGATTTTTGACGGAATTACGGTCTTTTCAATTTTTACGGGTTTTCCGCAATTTTCTTCTAAACGCTTGTAGATATTGAACTCATTTTTGGTATGTGGCTTTACCTTGATTAGTTATAGATAAAGTTTGCATTTTGTCCTGCTTCATTAATTTTTTACGGAATTATAGCATTTTCAATTCTTAACGGGAACCAGATTACACTTGCCGATAGGGGACTAGTATTGCTAATGCAATGCTCTCAGAATGCTTGTTAGACCTGTGCGTAACACAATATTATTCTAAAATAGCCGAAAGCGAGTTGGGGATTTCCAGTTGCGTGTTTTTAGAAGACTCGGTGGAGTTATCTTACTTGCTAAGTGGCGCTGGATCGCGAACGGAAGTAGTATTAAGATGACAGTAAGCGCTTTGCGCTGCGCTTAGCGCTTAAAAAAGACATATATTATTGAATTGATAACAGTTATGCTTCTCAAAAAGATATCAAACTTCAATATCAAGTCATGAGGTCAAATATAATAATACAATCCGAAAGGTCTTGTCACATGAAATACACATGTGTAAAAATATCAAAAACCAGAGTATACAATCGAAAAGGCCTTGAAACAGGTAATGCACATGTAAATTTAAATGCCATATCTTCTCTCAATCAAAAACTATCAGCGATGTTAAAAATTTTGAAAATTAAGTCAAAGTTCAAGGTCAAGGGCATGAGGTTAAAAATCATAGTACATTTGGAAATGATTGTCACAGGTAATGCACTTTTCAAATATGAATGCCCCATCTTCTCTCATTCAAAAGTTAGCGACATTAATAAAATGTTTGAAAATTAGGTCAAACTTGAAGGCCAACGTCACGGGGTCAAATATCATAGCACAGTAGGAAACATATTGACACAAGTAATGCACTTGACAAATATGAACGCCCTATCATATGTCATTCAAAAGTAATTACCAAAGTTTAATTTTTGAAAATTAGGTCAAACATGAAGGTCATGGGATCAAAAATCATAGCATGCTTGGAAACACCTTGTCACAGGTAATGCACATGCACATGTCAGGTTAAACTTCAAAGTGAATTGGTCAAAAACCATATTATATTTTGAAAGGTCTTGTCATAGTTAAGTACAAATGTAATATGAAATCCCTATCTTTTCTCATTCAAATTTTATTTTATTTAAAGTAATGTTAAGTTTTTTTTTGAAATTCAAGGTCAAGGTAAAGGGGTCAAAAATCAAAGTATATTTGAAAAGGTCTTGTCACAGGTAATGTACATGTGAAATACGAAAGCCCTGTCTCTTCTCATTCAAAAGTTACTGTTATGACCAAGGTTAAAGTCTTTTTTGTGACAGGCAGACTGACAGATAGATGAATGAGATTTAATGTCCCCTCGCTTTCGCAAAAGGGGGGACAAATATTCGAAATATTCGATCAAATAAACATATTCTGATAAAATTACTTCGAATATGAACCATCCTACCATACCCTCATATCAGGTTTTGCGTCTGTATTTGGGAATAAAATTTGTGCAGAATTTTGCAGGTGTACAGTAAAGAATTCTACATTTCATATTTCACGATGGATCTATATCATAACTTTAAAAATATTTTGAAGCTCCAAGTGATTGATATCTTATCAATACGACATTGTTGTATACGGTTCAGTTAAAAAAAAAATGAAATATCTAGCTAATAAGAGATGTAATTATAAGCTTTGATATCATGTTTTGAAAACAAACACTCCATAGACAATTTTCTTAATTAACCAATTTCCCGATAACTGTGCGATCCTTGGATATTAATACTTAAAAAAAGTACTTATGTTAAAAAACCTATTTTTTCACATTCTCTTAATTTTAAATTACTGTTCCTTGATATAATAAGCTTGTCCGAGATTATTTTTTTTTTACTTAAGTAGATATGTGTTGTATTTTTTAATAGTATGTAATAATCATAATGATAATACTTTTTTTCAATATCACATCCAGTATCAGCCCTCAATCAATAACAGGGCTTTCGGTCCTCTTACTGACATTGGTGTCTCGGGCTGATACAATGAAATATGTGGAGATAACGAACAGTATTCGAGCTCAAAAGTCAATTAACCATTACAAAATATAGGAGCAGAGCAAACACGGACCTCTAAGACATCAGAGGTGGGATCAGGTGCCATGGAGGAGTAAGCATCCCCTGCCGACCGGTCACACTCGCCGTGTGCTCCTTGTCATGATCGGGAAATAACAATTAAGATGTAATATGGAAAAGAGTATGTATTGTTCTCTATATATCTCTATTTAGAAAGTAGTGAATCAAATCGGCGAAAATTGATCACTGATACATGTACAAGTATATATAAGAAATATAAATCCGGCAATGTGCCAATTAAATTCATAATAGTTAAATTATTCCTTTTTGTGTTTGATGAAAAAAAAAAATCCCCGAATATTCGATTCTTTAACTCACTTTCAAATATCAACTCATCGAATGAATATGAAATATTCGTTGACATACAAGAATAGGTTGTCCAGTGTAATTTGCATTCAACGAACACCATGAAGTTCAAATTGAAAAATAATTCATGTGTGTTATTAAAAATGTGAAGATTTACATTATTTGCCTAATAAAAATGTAACTAATTTAAACCTGCATGATGTCGTGGGCGTATCCTTCTGCATGTTTCCAGTTTCCAAGGTTCACCGGATGTAAGACTGTGTCATAACAGGCCTCAGTTCCAAATATAAAGTGATCCGAATATTTTTTGTGAATGTAATCTAACTCAAATGTAGGAGATATGGCATCCATATACCAATGCACAGCAACACCAGATATATATTTGCTGGCACCAGGATCCGCTAATATCTACCAATAAATTATGTTGTTATTCCTTTAAAAATTGGTTCCTATATAAATCTATACTAAAAAAAGTCTAACATTTCCAATGTTTTACTGAGCGGTCATAAAAAAATCAATGTTTGACCGCAGAGATATTGGACCCGTCGATGATATTGAACCGCTTTCGTCACACTGTGGGCGGGATCAGCTAAATCTTATTTGGTTGGTGTTTGACAGTGACAGAATTGACCGAATTTCAGTAAAATTACATCACAGAAGCAAGATACAGTGTACATGTATATATGTCAAAATATATTAGATATGACAATTTGAAACATTTATTGACTGTGTTCTTTGGCAAAATGCGTTTTGTCGACCGCTCGAACCAAACTGTTTGTCTTCGGCCTAAGGACATCATGAAAACAGTTTGCATTGGTTCTTGCGTCCGACAAAACGGATGTTGTCCTCGAACCCAGTCAATAGATGTATAATATTCATAAACAAAATTTGTAAACACTGAATGCATGAATTAAACTGCTAGACTTAAAAAAAATTGCCAGCTTGAGCCTTCGACTGACTTACTGAAATATTGGGAAAGAGGGGATGGGGGGATGTATTTTTTTTTTAAAAAAAAAAATTATTTTAACCAATTATGATGGGAAAATAATTGTAAATGTATATTCTAATTATAAAAGTTCTTATATACAGCATATATTTGACCCGCATTTATCTAATTCATTTATACCGTGTCTGCCCAGTACGTGAGAAGAAGCCTCTGGTCGTCCAACATCATAAGCTTAAGGTCTGTATAACCATTGGCATGAAGGGCTGGCCCAAGGTCTTTCGAAATGAAGTCTCGCTGTTGCTCAGGCGTCCAGCCGGTGGCTTGAAATGGGAAATGGTCAATGTTTCCATCTGTAGGCTCATTCTGAGCTGTCAGTCCCCAGAAACTTATGTTGTATTGCAAGTAGGCATCAAGAAATCTGACAAGAAAACATTCCATCAACAAAAGGAAAAACTATCCATGATTTTGATTATATTTCTAGATATCTGTTGAAAAAAATAATTTGAATTTATATAAACATTTCATACTTTTAAATATTCTTTTCATACTTTCAAAATTTAAATAGGACTCATTTCAATGATCTGATTCTATTCATTTGAATCGGCGTTAAGGAAACTCTAAAGAGTAATGAAAAATGTACATTGGACATTGAGAAAACTGTATCATATAAAGTTGTACATACATGTAGTAAGTTTATCTAGCTACATACTTTGCCTGCCATATTTCTTCAGGAAAAGTGTTCAAACACAATGAAGCAATACTGAATAAAAATCACTGTTGTTTACTTACATTCGAAAAATACAGGCAAATAGCCTTTTTGATTACTTTATCCTAGACTAATATAGTGTTAAGAATACTCTAATCTATTTCAAATTGTGTCATTTATTGTAAATTTCAATTTATTCCATCTTACTTCAAAGGGCAGATCACTGTAAATGCATACAACTACCATGGAATTAGAACTCTTTGGTGAGCATTGTTTACAGCTTCCTTAGGCAATGCCCTCGCTTACTGACCAACCTTTTCAAAGCTGATTGGTTGATGGGCGGAAATCAAAGAAACACAGAAACACGAAATACCTATACATGCTATAGTTTTAAATAGATTTTAATTTGTGTACTATTATTTATTAAAAAAGAAACTTCATCTACAGTACCTGACATCAGGGACATATATATACTTTTAGTATATACGTGGGTTGTCCCAGATAAACGCGAACTTTTTAAATATTTCATTAAGTACCTGACCAAAATTATTCATTTTTGGCATAATGTTAGGAAATGATATTTTTGTCATTTTGGCTAAATAATAGAAGGTTCTAATGTCATATGCTTTTATAAACAACATTTAAAGGGTGTTAAATATCGGTGGTCGGCGCACGGCAATTTCTTGACTTTCAAAAATAGCCTTGACAGCAAAATTTTCTTTATTACCAGGCTATTCGGAAATATGTGACAAAAGTTATATGCTTAAAAACTTCATGATCTAGAGTACTCGTGTGTAAAAAATCAATACTCTGACATCATAAATAACAAAAATATGACGTTATATGCACAAAAACTATTAAATAGATATTGCCAAAAACTGCGACGTCGAGCGTTCATTCGGCGCACCAAATTATCACTCAGTGTTGTGCAGAGCGGGGTTTGACTCCTGTTCATACGGAAAAAGAGCTGGGAACGAGGGAACAACATAAATACATGTATCGATCACAAGTGTATACATAGTTAAAGAGGTTCAAAGATGAATGGACTAGTTATTTGGTGGAAGAAGTTGGTAGACCAACAAAAATGACGACGAACTGAAAAGGCTAGAGCTGGACGTCATACAGAAAGAAGAAAACATACTAGATTAACTACAATAACCAAGTTTCTGAATATCTAACTGATATAATCCCAAATTTGCGTTGTAATTTTTCAAGTTACAGTACGAGAAATTCATATAACTATAACATACCTAAATGCAGATTGCAAACATATGTCAACTTTCATCCCCCTTGTTATTGACGAATTGAACTCATTACCTCTTATTGTAAGAAATTCTTCCTCATTGTCTATCATTGTCTATCTTTTAAAAGTCCATTTCTTACAATAAAGCTATGCCACCCTCTTATTTCAGATATACGGGATTCGACGCTTAAATATACTGGGGTATTACATATAAGGCTTCGACACAACTGTGTGTTTAATAGCGATTTTTTTTTCGATGTAATGTAATTTTAAGTCCCCGATGTTCTTGTGGAAGAGTGGAGGATACTCATCATTATTTCTTTTCATGCAAAAAATATACAGAGGCCAGAAAAGAATTTTTTGACACATTTCCGCGAATGGAAAAATTACATACTGTTGATACTCACACTTTACTGTGGGGAGATGAAACGTTAAACGATGTTGAAAATGAATACCTATTTTCCATTTATTAAAAAGTCAGGTTGTTTTGGTTGATACAATTATTACTTTTTACGAATTCTATACAGCTTGTGTATTATATAAGAAATATATTAAGTTGAATATTGTTCCTCTGATTTTTATGCTTTTCTGTGTTTATTTATTTTAAGCTGAAACCCATATATGTATATGTATGTAGAGAAAGGGCGTATTAATATTTTAGAACTTTTGCCCAATCCCATTTGTAAAGTTAATAGACAATAAAATACATTCAAATCAAAGATGCTTTATGGTTTAAAATTTGCTATAAATGATTGCATAATATGAATGTTTAATAAAATGTGTAAAGAGAGGTTAGACAGACATTTTAATTTGTTAAATTAAATATCATTTATGAATATAAAACACAAAATTTGTAAATATTTTTTGTACCTATGGATAAAATCTTCATAAAACCAGTCACAACTAGGGAGAATATGTATGTCGATCACATTTTAAAAAGAAATTGAAAGATAGATAGAGCTAAATTTAAGGGAAAATAATTATTTTAATATATCTGTATTTGGATCAATCCCGGTCAAAATGAAACTGATCCCGATAAAAATTAACACAAATTAAATAAAATACTAATTATCGTCCTCTTTATGTATTTACCTCTAAGAAATCTATTTGACTGTCAAGTTCAATTACCTTTTAATCCGTATTACACCTAAACAAACCAGTATCCTTGTGAAAATGTTATCTATTTCCAGTTATTACAAAGTTCTGGTTGGGATCAGTTTAAATTTCGATCGGAATTGGCCAAAATTTTAAAAAAAAATTCTAAAATTTGGCATTTTCATTTTAATTTCTTTTTAAAATATGATTGTGTCTAGCATATTCATTGTAGCTGTGACTTGTTTTTTGAATATATTATCCATAGGTTTCGAAAATATTCGCAAATTGTTTTCATAAATAATTTTTCAGTAAAAAATTAAAATGTCCAGCTTGCTTTTGTTTACATATTTTATTAGATATTCATTTTCTGCATTTATTAATAGCAAATTTTTAACTCTAAAACATCTTATTTGCAAATAAAATCTTTTTTTCATTTTCTATGAAAAATTGGGGAAAAAATCTTATAAAATAATTGAGAGCTAATATCGGCCTTTTAATGCTGAAACCATAATTTAAAGGCGATGTCTTAAAGATCTATGAAAAAAAAAAAATTGGCGTGGCATTCCTTCTTAAATTCTTCCTTCAGACTTAGAATTAAATGCTTACTTCAAGTGTTTTACAATTTATAAACTTTATCTCTATAATGTTATGTACAGCACATATAGATTGAGGCGGGTTCCTATGTGCGACAGAGGCAACTTTGGAACAATTTTTTAAGCCTACAATTTACTTGACTTTTTTTTTTGATTGAATGGCTCTATTACTTAAGTGAATGATTTTAATTTTCCCAGAAACTTTGCTAGGACCTGTAATAAGGTGAACATTTACTCAAATTACGTTGATAGCCCAACGGTAAATCATTTAACACTGTCCATTCGAAACCGTTTAGCACATGTAGATCTAGAAATCTATGGTTAGCAGAGTAGAACCATGCAACAAGTAAAGATTATACATAGTTTTATTAAGAGTACTTATTTGAACAAACACCAAACGAACGTTTATATGCAATAAGAAAATAAGAAATGCCGGGTAATCCGTAGAACAACGAGTGAGTCATGATGCAAGTGCATTTTAGTTAATATTGAAAGCAACGACGCGATGTCTGAACAAGATAAAAATTATGAAAATATATTAAACTGAAAGCATACAAGGGAAAAGGATAGTGAATGTCAAACCCTTATTACATACTAGATCAAATAAAGGATATTTATAGACCTCCTCTCTGCATGTGGATATTTTAGGGCATTAGCCGCACATCTATTTTTCATAACGGTACAAAAAATAATATCCAACTTAGATTTCAAGCTGATATATGTTCCTTGCATGTTAGTAAGCATATGAATATTGTTTTCCAAGCATATAAAATTAAATGCGCAAACATATAACGCAATGAACAAATTGAGAACAGGGAAGCAGTATTTTATGTTGTTTGAAGTTATCGCCCTTATAATTTTAAATTACATTAATTTTTTTTGCAAAAATAAACAAATTTGCCAAATCCAATTTAAAGTAAAAAGATCAAGAATAAACATTTTATAATTCCTTTTTTACTAACAGTAAGATTTTTTTCTTTATTCTTCAATAAGTATTTTTTCCATTAATTTTATTGTAAATAACTTTGAAAATTCTATGTATTGTGCATATGTATTACTTTTTTTCACAAGACCTAATAATAAATGAGTCAGGCGGTCAAAAAAATAATAAAGAGAGGGGGTGATAGTGGGGAGAGGAGAGGGAGAGTGAGTGGGGAGGAGGGGTAGTGAGTGGTGGGAGAGGGAGTGTAAGGGGGGAGAGAGAGAGAGGTTGAAGAGAGAGGGGGAGATTGAGGGGAGAGAAAAATAGGGTGGAGAGAAGAAGAGTGTGTTTGGGGAGAGAGAGTTGGGAGTGTGTGGGGAGAGAAAGAGAGTGTGGGGAGGGGGAGGAAGGGAGATTCGGGAGGGAAGGGTGTGTGGGGAGAGAGAGTGGGGGAGAGTGGGAGAGGGGAAGGGAGAGAATTATGGGGAGAGTGGGAGAGAGGTGTGGGGAAGGAGAGAGAGGGATAGATGATGATATTACCGTGTATAGACTTTTGTTAAACACCTCTTTGTAAAAAGCCTCATTTTGTGAAGGCTTTGTCGACATCAGCAAACAACAAAAGACACTGGTAAAGATTTTGAGCTAATCACGCTTTGTGTCCCTGATATCGAAGGTCAGAGGCATATTGATTCAGTCCTGTGTGATATTTTTAAGATTTATATATTTCACATATTTAACCTTCCCTATATTTTTATGAGAAGAAGTTTAAGACTTCATTCAGAGAAATTATAAGATAATTATGAGATTAAAAAATTCTTAACAATTGTTATTTTTAAAACTAATTGGGAAGAGTTTTAAA